ATAGCTTGGACAGATGTAATGGATCCTTTCTTCGTAGTAGTAATACGTTCTTGAAGGCCACCAAGATCTGTAGCCAAAGTTGGTTGGTAACCAACAGCAGAAGGGATACGACCAAGCAAAGCAGAGACCTCGGAGTTAGCCTACATACCAGAAAAAAAAGAACATAAATTAGAACTCACTAAGTACTATTTAATGCAGTAGAAGCACAGATCAAGAACAAGATCCTTCATAGGCCCATTACTTGAGTGAAACGGAAGATGTTGTCAATGAACAGCAGAACATCTTGTCCTTCTGCATCCCGGAAGTGCTCAGCAACTGTCAGCCCAGTAAGACCAACACGAGCTCGAGCACCAGGAGGCTCATTCATTTGACCGTACACCAGAGCACACTTGCTTTCACTCTGTAAAATCATTAGAACACAAAGAGAAAAATCAGGCTAACATTTATGCAACCCCAAAAAAACCAAGGAACAGAATGAAACAAATGTAAAAACTTCCAGCACAAGGACCTGCTTATCTCCAAGCTTAATAACACCACTCTCAATCATTTCTCTGTATAAATCATTGCCTTCTCGAGTACGCTCACCAACACCAGCAAATACAGAAAAACCACCTTATCCAGAGAAAAAAAAAATCAGGAAATAATGCAAAAATAAGTAAATATCATCATCCAAAATGCAAATGAACACCAACCATGTGCCTTAGCAACATTGTTAATAAGTTCCATGATAAGCACCGTCTTTCCAACACCGGCACCACCAAAGAGCCCAATCTTTCCACCTCTTTGATATGGTGCGAGTAGATCCACGACCTATAATGGCTCAACTTAGACAAAATTATAGGGTCACAAAAGACATAGACATCTACATTATTAATAAAAGGAGAGGAAGGGGTTTGGTGTCCACTTCTTAAATTTCTACACTATTCCTACTTTATTCTCTCAGTCACTGCTAATTTCAACTGTAACTGCACTTAATCGTACTTAACCACTCAAAACTTCCAATCTAACTGCATTTAACCATAATTAACCGTCCATAACCATGGTACATATCTAACTCTCTTACTGTCTTCCTACTCTCATAGTTCTTTATGTATCTCATTTTTTTGTAACTACACAAACAGAAAACCGTGTGCCAGAGCCGCTGTAACTCAAGAACATGAAGGCAGCACCAAAACCATAGGGGACAGGTGATGGCAAACATGGGTCACCTTTCATGAGTTCACAGGCCCACAGATTAGTACCAGAATATAATGATTGCACAAATTTAGGAAAAATCACCTTAATTCCAGTAACAAGAATCTGTTGTTCCGTTGCTTGCTCAACAAAGGCTGGAGCTTCTCGATGGATTGGGAGGAAGTGATCCGTTTCTATGGCATAGAAAAAATTTACAAGAACAGACAAGAAAAATAAAGAAGAAAGCATCAACCAACTGAATATGAAGAACAAACGAGTAAAGGGAAAAAAGAGTAACAGAATACTAGCGAGGTTTTAAAGAAATAAAGAAGACATACTCATTTCACCCTTCTCATCAATGGGCTCTCCAATAACATTCATAATACGACCTAGTGTAGCTCTCCCAACAGGCACCTGCCAACATGAACCATGGTTGTGAAAATCATATGTAAGAATCAACCATTAAGCACTGAAGAATGCAGACAAAAAAGAAATGAGAAAGGCCATTTTACATTGCCCATTTCGCCGAAACAATTAATCTACGGGTGAAACACAGGAACATAATGCTGAAGGCCCCATTTAGATTAAGGATACAATTCTCTTATCAGAAAACAAGTAGATGCATACTACGAATCATAGAACCAAACCGTCATGGGCAATCTCATCAATTACAACCCAGAAAGTATGACCAACAATGTAATATTCTCAAAAACTACACGCATACACACACACACATATTATGACCAACACTGCAATATTCTCAAAAACTACATGCATAAACACACAAACCCACACACACATATTAGTAAATGTATCCAATAGGAGAGGGAAAGGGTAATTACAGTGATAGGAGAGCCAGTATTGAGAACCCTCTGTCCTCTCACAAGCCCTTCAGTCCCATCCATAGCAATTGTCCTCACCATATTCTCTCCCAGATGCTGCGCTACCTCCAGAACCAATCTGATTGGATTGTCCATAACCTCCAGAGCTGTCAATATCGGTGGCAACCCTTCATCAAACCGGACATCGACAACCGCACCAATCACCTGGCACACCTGGCCAACCGCTCCAGCCCCCGTGAACTCATCAGTAATTTTGCCACCACCGGATTTCACAACCTTAGACGGCAGCGATGGCGTTGGCGCCGTCGCCGGAGCTGCGGCGGAAGTGGCGTAATTGATCACTCGCTTTAAAAGAAAACCGCCCGGTGATGGACGCTTAACTGACTGTCTAAGGGTTCGGAGTGAGGGTTTAACGGAGAGAAGTGTAGAGGAACGGAGTAGCGAAGAAAGGAGTTTGCGTGAAGCCATGGATGAGGCTAATGGAGTGAAAGTGGGTTGGGGTTAAGGTTTTATTGATTGTGTTTCCGTAATGATCAGTGTCTGTGAGAAGAATTCACGTTGGCAAATGGAGCACAAGAGGATCAATGGGTGTGTGTGTGTGCGTGTGAGAGAGAGAGAGAGAGAGAGATGGTGTGGTGAGTACGACAGTGGGAATGAAGATGGTGGACAATGAGGAGATATAAGAGGTGAAATTGAGGGAGATTTTGGCGTCCAGTTTGTTTGGATCTCCGATGGTGGACCTGCTCCCCTCCTCGGAAGAGTTCAAACAACCGTGGAATGACGCGTGTTGGTTGCGCGGCAATTTCGGCACTTGAAGTGTTGTGGCAATTTCGGCATCTGAACTTTCAATTATTATAATTTAACCCCTTAGACTCTTACGTCTACCAATAAACTCCTCGTTAAGATGGATAAAATATGCCCCTTGGTTGTTGCTTTGAAGGCAAACTAGAATATGTACATGCATTGCTGGGATTTTTGAGGGCATGGTTCCCTCAATTTATCTGGTGAAGTTCACGCCTAAGCTTCTCAATGGATTAGATTTAGTTCAAATTTTAACTGATTTGAATTTAAATTTAATTTTAAAATATAATCCAAATCTAATTCAATAATCCGAAGAATTTTATTTTTGTGGTCTATATCCAAATTCGCTAACAATCTAAAATTCAATTCGATCCAAATAATTTAATTAACTAAATTTTAACAAATTATACCTAAATTTCAAATAATTTTTTAAAATAATACTTAATTTTTTTAATATTTATATAAAAACATATAAATAATTAAGATTAAATATAGATATATTTAAATTCAAATCCATGAAATATAAGATATCATATTTATATTCGAATTTTGATTTGGATTGTCGATAAAAAATATTAATCCGTATTCGTTTAACTGAATTCGAATTCGAATCAAAATCTAATATATTGACGGACCAATCCATGAGTAACATTGAAAAAACAAAAATAGTACAACATGAAATTAGGAATTGGAAGAAGGGAAATTGTGCATTGAAAATTAGGGGCGTAACTTAAGCGGGTCAACCCGAAAAAAAAAAAAGGACTTCAGTTGAGATTTTTAATACTTGGGTTGGATCTGAGTAAAAAAATACTAACCCGAATTACATTTGGACAGTACCTAGGTTGAAATCTCGGGTTACCGAGTCACCCGAATGTATAAATCGAGTTTAACTTCAATATATAAATCGAACTTAACTTGAATTTTAAATCGGGGTTCAACACGAATATATTCAAAAATAAATATATAGATCAATATAGCAATATAACTTATAAGTTGAAACACTAGGGATTAATTTTATGTTAAACATTTAACTTTTATGTCTTTATGTTAAATTTTTATACTTCAAATACTATGTTTTTATTTTAAACATTTGATTGAAGTTATTGATTGTTATTTTAGGCGAATATTATGTAACATGTATCAAATTTACAATAATAGACTGATTTTCGGACTTGAATAAACTCTACTTGAATTATAATTCAAAATTAATCCAAATTACATAACCTGAACTCAACCCGAATCACAACTTAAAATTTGTTTGAATTGCATAACCCAAATTCAATCTGAACCTGTCCGAATTAAACTTTGACAATACTTTGGTAGAGTACTTGGAGTTAAGGTCTGAATTACATCCTTACTGAAAATAAGAGTCCAGTATAGACATTGTCTATTTTGCCCTCCAAGCAATTGTCAGTGGGTTGATTCCGCCTATCTTAATGAAGGGGAAATAAACGGAAGCGGTTTATTGCTACAGATGTAAAAGTCATAAAGACTAAATAGAAAGAATAGAAAGTTTAGAGACGAATTTGAAACATGTGTAATAATTGGAGAGGCATTTATGTTATTTACCTTTTTCTTTTCTTTTTTTTTTTATATCACGAGGATGCAATGAATTGATGTCACTGTTATCTATATAATAAAGTCCAACATTATAAATAATTTTTATTTTTTTGGTTAATGTTAATTTCATAAATTTAATAAAAAAAAATAAACCATCTTATGTTTGGGATGACTTTTCAAAAATATTTTTAAAATTTATGACTTTTCATAAATATTTTATAAAAAAAATAATAGTTTTAAACAACTTATTTAATTACTTTTAAAGAAGTTAGAAGCAGTTTTAGTATTTAAATAAATAAATAAGTAAAATAAAAAAAAATAACTTCTACTTATTTAAAATTAATTATCTACAAAATATTTAACCACCGTTGCCTCCGCCGCCTCCGCCGCCGCCACCCCATCCCTACCCCCGCCACCACAGTTATTTTAGTGTTATTATTCGTTGTCGATGACCGTTGTAACAAATATTTACTCCTAATTGTGATTTCTAACAATTAAGAGAAACATTTGGCAAAAAAAACTCCCGCCAAATGGGAAAACCGGCTATCTCCGGTAAAGCACGAACTAACCGGTCAACACTATAAAATCACAAACAACATTTCATAGCTCTCAATTTCCCCTGCAATCACAATTATCGTCCCTGTTTTGCTTCTTTCTTCATCTCCTTCGTCTTCCTCGTTGATCCTTATTATCTAGGGCTTCGCGACTTCGATGAAGGTTTTGAAGCGTAGGGTTTTCACCGAACCGTACCTGAACGAGTCCAACACGGAGCTCTCTTTGAGTTTGGTACAATGAGTGCAGTGAACATTACGAACGTGACGGTCTTGGACAACCCGGCGTCGTTTCTGGCCCCTTTCCAGTTCGAAATCTCATACGAGTGTGTCACTCCTCTCAAAGACGGTACTTTATATCTGCTCACATTTTATTTGATTTTAATACTGCCGACTGGGGTTAGGTTACATGAACAGGGGCAAATATTTGATACTTAGGGTTCACAATTTCAAAATTGAGAAGTATCTATGGTTGATATTTTAGGAAATGGTGAGGTTTGCCATGAATTTTAATCGGGATTTATTAAGCAAGATGTTCTTCGTCTGATCTTGCTTTGGCTTAACATTAGGTACCTTTCTGTACTATCTGGATGTCGGATTCCACGAGGGAAAGGGGAAGAAAATGTAAAGGACTACCAAACATGGGAAAATGATGAGGAAAAATGTAATATGAGGATTGTGGGTTTGTGTGACAATGTTAGGTCCATCTCACAAGTGAGCATGTGGTGTTAACTGATTTCTACTGGTTCGATTTAGTAACCATTATAGAGATTTAGATGATTAAGAAGCTACATTTCTTAATGGGTTCGAGGTAGCAGTTATTTAAAAATTGTACTTCATTGCTTTAGAGTTATGGTTAGACTGGATTTTTAATTTACGCTGCCTTGATTACAATTGGCCCTTAAATATATTTAGCTTTATAAAGCCTGATTATAAATAATTTTATTTTCCTGTGTATTCACAATGAGTTTTGCCAGATAAAAGATGATTTTTGAAATCATTGTTTTACAGTCATTAAGCAATGTCTTGAACCTTACCTACTAGTTTCTCCCATATCTCTGCCTGAGATTGGTGATACATTTTTGAATTGCCTGTGTAAGTATGACCGGATGTTTGCAGTGTGGTGGGATACATGCTTGAGGTCTGCTCATTAATTCATAGTCATTGTACTTGTATCATTTTTTGTTGTTTGTTTTGAGGGCTCACCTATGGTCCTTCCTTTTCAGTCTTGGCAAAAGGCTTGTTGTTTTTACCCAGCTCCACCATTTAGGAACTTAGTGCATCCTTTACATGTTCCTTCTATATATTGTACAAGTCATCTGCTTTGTACATGTTTCCATGTTGTTATAAATTTGCGTTTTTCCTTCTAGCATGTTTGTAACAAATATGCACCAATGTGATTTTTTTTTTCTTGAATGGGCGAAAGAGAGATAATAAAATCGAAAAGGAGTAAATTGGAATATATACCTTTATACCATTACTGAATTTACATCTTGAAGTGGGACACTATGCTGTTTGTGGATTGTTTCTCCACAGGGCCTAAAGTATTGTATGAGGAATCATTTTGGTGGTTGGGGAGAGCATGGCCCCTGCTGGCCACCCCATGTGTCTGATCCTGTCTGGTTCTACATGTTTCATCTTTAATTGATTACAAGGTGCAGCTAACCCATACAACAACAAAGAACATGCCTTTGAACACGAGGAATTTTTGCTATAACCTTGATTTCATGTTGTTTGTTCACTGCTGGGATGATTGCGGCATTATTAAATTACTATTTAGTGATTTTGCAACTGTAGCCCCAAGAAAGTGTAAGGCTCAATTCTCTTCTTTCTAGCTGATTGGAAGGAAAGACTAAATTTTATGTACTTATGTCCACCGTCCATGGACCTGCAATGGAATGCCATGCATGGCTTTTTTATTTGCTTTGTTTGAATCGAAAATGGGGATAAGCAACTAGATTATGATGTCAGCATTTTTGCTTACAGCATTAATTTGTTTAGAAACTCAATGATGATCAATTTATAGCGAATACACGTGCATGAGCTTTGGATGTCCATCCAACCCACACACTGCATACCAACAGGGCATTAGATACTTACCTTGTGAAGGCTTTGCTTTCTTGAGGTCAAGGGTTCAAGTCCCCCCTCCTCTCTCCCTTCCCTAAAAAAAAAAAAACTTAAATAAGCAAAAAAAAAAGAAGGTAATTTGTTGTTTATGCCGACACCTGTGAGAACCCAGGACTATCACCCTTCAGATAAGAGTTGAATAGAATATGGTTAAAAGTTTGTGCTCCACATATTGTCTCTAAGTATAGTATAAAAATTCTACTTAAAATTTATTTTTCTCGGTCTATATATTTTAATTTCGAAAGTTGTACAGATATTTAAATCTCCAGCTTGTAATCATTTGGTCATATATGCAGTCTTATAAAAAATTTGTTATACATGCAGATTTGGAATGGAAACTCATTTATGTTGGATCAGCTGAGGATGAAACTTATGATCAACTTTTAGAAAGTGTTCTTGTAGGGCCTGTCAATGTTGGAAACTACCGTTTCGTCTTGCAGGTAACCTTTGTGGACGTCTTGACCTATGGTTCAGAAAGTTAGTATTTTGACCATTTGTGGCATAGAACTCTTATTTGTTGGCTTTATCGTGTTTTTTGGGGCACTTCTACCAGGCAGACCCTCCGGATCCTTCAAAGATCCGTGAAGAAGATTTAATTGGTGTCACAGTGCTCCTCCTGACCTGCTCTTATCTGGGCCAAGAATTTGTCCGAGTGGGCTATTATGTGAACAATGATTATGATGATGAGCAGCTTAGAGAGGAACCTCCCCAAAAGGTGTTGGTTGATAGGGTCCAAAGAAACATATTAACTGATAAACCTAGAGTCACTAAGTTCCCCATCAATTTTCACCCTGAAAATAATGAAAGTGGAGAACAAGGACCTCCAGCTGATCATCCGATTGAAGCAGATGGAAATGAAGAGCAGCTGGTTTCTTCATTGGATCATCCTTCAGGAGAGGAAGGACCTTAAAGTCAATGATGTTTTAGTTCTCTGAACTCCTAACTTCTCAGTAGGTGTGTAGAAAGCTTATCTTCTTCGGTGGCATCATTGCTAAACGATCTTATACACGAAACCATGTTTGAGCTTTTCACCAAGTTTATGTGGATATTTAATGACGGATGACAGATGTACTGGGTCAAATCAGGTTGTTGTTGGCTGTTAAGCTAGTGGTTTGACGTTTTGGTTTGTGTTCCAGATTGGACTCTTGAGAGTTTGACTCGGTTGATTAGTGCATTTGCGTTCTTGCAAGCTGTAACTGATGTATTTTGCAAAAGAAGCTAATATAGTTGCTTTTTGTTCCCCTAAACCATTCGTAGTTGCCTTACTTTTAATCTTTGATGGGATAAATCATGCATCTGAAGTGGATTTCATTTTCATTAAATATAGAGCTGAAATAAATTTACAGATTGTTGGGAGTAAAAAACCTGCTTAAATGTAGACTAGAGGGTGAGCCTAGTAGCAATTATTATGGAATTTGCACACTAAAAGATCTTACAATTCTTAATTTGTACCCTTAAAGAATTGAATTTTTAAATTGCACTCTCTATCTTAAATTTTATCCTTGAATTAAACTACATTGTATTAATTTTATAACAGTGAGAGTGTAATTTGAGAATTCAATTCTTTAAGTATAAATTGATAATTATAGCATCTTTTAGGGTACAAATTTAGAATTAGAGCATTTTTTAGGATACAAAGGAAAATTAACCCTTCGACTAATGACCTAGAGTTATGATTCGAGTTTCAGATATAGTTATCTCCATTTGGAGGTGATGGTGTTCGGAATTTATGGCCCAAGCCCAACGAAGATGGGGCGATGTTCTGAGTAGGTTTTGCAGATTATGCATTAATCTCTCATGAACAGTTAGACAGGGAATATAAGTGGTTCACTTTAGCCGATAGACTAAGGTTACGTTCACTATTAATGGAGTTTCTTGCTTCTTGAGTTTGTATATTAATCGGTTGAAGATATGCTCCTTGAAACTGGGGATCCGAAGTCCTCTTACAAGGAGTGAGTATTTAACTATTCTTTCTTTGTGTCCTTATTCTTGGCTCCTCCGATGCATATGGGTCCAAGAAGAGATCCCCCCTCGTCAGGTTATCGTTTTCTATTTATATTAGGGTCTCTTCTAGGGTTTTCAACTGTCCTTCTCTTAGTACTGATCCATTCAATTCTTCTCTCTGCCCCTTCTTGCTTTTTTTGTCACCACGATCACTGTTCATCCGGCGCTGCCGTTGGCACAATCTCTGGTGGCTTGGCGCTCCACTTTCTCTGAGATTATCATAAGTGTCAGGAGTGGTCCCCTGGATCCTTAGGGTGCGTGGTCCCTACTGGCGATCCAGAAGTAGCATTTAGACTAGACTTTCAACCTTTGGACTGCTTATGGTTTAGATTAGGCCTGAATTGTTGGGTTACAAGCTTTCTGCTGAAGTTAGGTTCTTCTTCTTTGCTTCGGACCTGTTGGGCTGGTTAGGCTTCTAGGCCATGAAGGCCTTGGCAATGGGGGATCTCTTCTTGGACCCATAAGCATCGAAGGAGCCAAAGAAAAGGACACTAAGAGAGAATAGCTAGATACTCACTCTTTGTAAGAGGACTTTGGGTCCCCAATTTAAGGGGGCATACCTCTGATCGATTAATATACAAACCTAGAGAGCAAAAAATTCCATTGGTAGTGGACGTAGTTTTAATTTGTCGGTTAAGATGAACCACTTACATTCCCTGCCTAATTGTTCACGAAAAATTAATTCATTATCTACAAAACCTATCCAGAACATCGCCCCATCTTCGTTGGGCTTGAGCCATAAATTCCGAGCACCATCGGAAGGTAAAATTGGGTGTATTAATCATCTCTAGAGATTGAAGGGCCATAATCATCTTTACATTACGAAGCAATCACTGGTTGAATGAAGAATGAAAGTTTTGCACTTCTTTCTTGACTTTCTCGGGTATATCCCCGGTAAGCATTGTCGCTGAGAACCTCCGCGCGTTCCCGCGTGCGAGACAGAGAGTACTAAAAATGTAATGTCACGTGATATTATCGATTAATAATAAAATATTAAATAAAATAAATAAATTTTATTTAAATAAGTATTGAGTTATATGAACGGATAGTTATTATTTTGTGCAGATTTTATTTATTTATACATTATTAATTAGTAATGTCTTGTAATAATAGTGACACCGTTTTACCATTGTATTTAATATTTTCTTGGAATCAATCCGAACTCTATTTATAAATAGAATGAGGCTGTTAAATCAAAGGGATGCAAAAACTCTTATCATAATAAGCCCAACAAATAAAACTAAGTTAAGACTAGGCAATGAATTGGATTTTAATTTAAATTTGATTAAACAAATATGAATTAATATTTTTTATCGATAATTTAAATACAAATTTGAATATGTTATATCATGTTCAATTGATTCGGATTTATATATATATCAATATTTAATCTGATTATAAATTTTATATGAATTATGCATTTATATTTGTATAAATTTATGATGAAATTAAGTAACTATTTCATAAAATTGTATTGAAATTTAGTGACATTTTTTTTAAATATAACTTATTTTACTTATTTAGATTGAATTAAGATTAAGACTTTTAAATATAATTGAATTCATTAACGGGTTATGTCAAGGAGACTAATAGACAGATAGTTAGTAGGAGAGAGAGAGTTACATCGTGGCCTTTTGAAGAGTGCAATGGGCATGGGTGAATTGGTAGGTGTCCAAACCAAAGGTAGTAAAAAACAAATAGAGTTCAATTGGGATCGGATAGTAAGGTTGCCAAAAACCAATTTAATTCGTCAGCTGGCAAGCCATGTTCATCTAGGGTGGGTGGGCACATTCATAACAGGATTCTATATATATCTCAACCAGTGCCCACTTTAATGTCCATCTGATTACTACAATTCACATGCACAGTTCAGTTTCTGCGCTTCACTTCCAAGCAGTTCGATTCTCTCTCTCTCTCTCTCTCTCTGTGTATCTGCAATGGCAGACACCGACTCCGATCCAAATGCCCTAATCGATGGCAATTCCCTTGTTGCCATGTCCCTGGCACGTGCCGGCGTGGATCGCATGTTCGGCGTGGTGGGAATTCCGGTCACCTCCCTCGCCAACCGCTCTGTCGCCCTCGGAATCCGATTCATCGCCTTCCACAACGAGCAATCCGCTGGCTACGCTGCCTCGGCTTACGGGTACCTCACCGGTCGGCCTGGAATTCTCCTCACCGTTTCCGGGCCGGGTTGTGTTCACGGGCTAGCGGGTGTCTCGAACGGCACTGTTAATGCCTGGCCCATGGTCCTGATCTCCGGCTCATGTGATCAAAAGGACTTCGGCCGCGGGGATTTCCAGGAGCTCGATCAAATAGCGGCCGTTAAACCGTTCTCGAAATTTTCCGCAAAAGCCTCTAACATCAAACAAATCCCTGGTTGTGTTTTCGATGTCCTTCACTGGGCTGCATCGGGGCGTCCCGGCGGGTGTTACTTGGACTTACCCACCGATGTGCTTCACCAAACTGTCACTGAATCGGAGGCGGAGAAATTGATTGTTGATGCTCAGACTTGTAGAAAGGAAAACAAAGAGGAAGGGATTGAAATTGTTAAGCATTCGGAGATTGAAAAGGCGGTTTCGATGCTGAGACAGGCAGAGAGGCCGTTGATTGTGTTTGGTAAGGGCGCTGCCATTGCTAGAGCCGAGAATGAGCTGAAAAAGTTGGTGGAAAGTACTGGAATTCCATTTTTGCCAACACCTATGGGGAAGGGTTTGTTGCCTGATACCCATGACCTAGCAGCAACTGCGGCGAGGTCATTGGCAATTGGGAGATGTGATGTTGCATTGGTGGTTGGTGCAAGGCTTAATTGGTTGTTGCATTTTGGGGAACCTCCAAAGTGGTCTAAGGATGTGAAGTTTATTTTGGTTGACATAAGTAAAGAAGAGATTGAGCTGAGAAAGCCATGTCTTGGACTGGTTGGGGATGCGAAAAGGGTTTTGGAAATCATAAATAAGGAGATTAAGGATGACCCTTTTTGTTTGGGAAAGAATCATACTTGGGTTGAAGCGATAGCAAAGAAGGCAAAAGAAAATGTGTCAAGAATGGAGGCACAGTTGGCTAAGGACGTTGTGCCTTTCAATTTTATGACACCAATGAGGATAATCAGGGATGCAATTTTGGGATTGGGTAGTCCTGCTCCGATATTGGTGTCTGAGGGGGCAAACACGATGGATGTTGGTCGTGCTGTGTTAATTCAGATGGAGCCGAGGACAAGGTTGGATGCTGGGACTTGGGGGACAATGGGGGTTGGTCTGGGCTATTGCATTGCTGCGGCTGTGGCTTCACCTGATCGGCTTGTTGTTGCTGTTGAAGGGGACTCTGGATTTGGTTTTAGTGCCATGGAATGCGAGGTTTGTTCCCTCTCTAAGGAGTTTGCTTATATATTAACGCTTCTTGTTTATGGAAAACTCGTATTCTATGCCTTATTCATTCAATTAGGGATCAACATAATGCTGATGCTCAAGCTGAAAACTTTATTTTCTCAATGATATTGTTTGTGTTTTACTGGAAATGTTGTGTATCTAGATACTTGGAGAAGTGTCCCCCCCCCTCTCCTCCTTCCTGGTTCACTGTTTTTTGCGCTTTCAAATTGTTTGGATTTTTTATATGCATCTTCTAGCTATTTTAGGGTATCGGTCATTATTATCCAAGGGTGGAAATAAATAGAGATATTGTCCAGAACTTCTTTCGTCACGGAGATAGCAAATTGTGTTCTGTTTATATGCTTATTGGTGTTGTGATTGGCCACTTCTAGGAGAACAAATGCTACACATTTAATGGTTCGAGGTTTAAGTTGCTTGTATATGTCAATGCATATCATTAAATAATAACAGGCTCTGAGGGTAGATTCACATTTAGTTGTCGCTATCCACCATCTATAACACCAGCTGTAGTAGAATCTTGGATTATTTGAAGTCATTTAATTGGGTTCATTCCTTGTGGGCTCTCGGTTGGAGGTGTCCACAGAACCAAGTTACATTTTGAAGACCATAAAACTAAGAATCATCTTCACTTTTATCTCAAATGGTCACCCTGCTTTTGATGCCGGATTGAATCAATGACCGCAGTCTGCTTCAAATGCCTGTGATAAGATAACAGGGAAGTTTATTTTGATCATTACTATACATGGAGTCCTGTCCCAACTGGGTCTTGAACCTTGCAATACAACTTGGAACTTACCATGTCCAACAAAGAATTTGCTGGGACCAACTAAACAACGATAAATATCCATGCCCCACGGATGCTAATGTTGTAGTCTAAACTTTCCTTGTCTTCGACATCAATTAATTCTATGACCTTTTTGGGTTTATTGTTAAGGAATGCCTCTTTGCTCTATGCATGCGCTAATTTCAGTCTCTTCATTAATGAGTACATCCACCCCCCGCGAGAACAAAGTATTAAAATTAAATTATAACTTAAAAAAAGGAGAAAACTAGAAATTTTGTTCCAAGACTGCAGTAAATGTGCAAGTCTATCTGTCTTACTTTATAAATCACATCCCATTTAGTTCTCATTTATAGCGTCCTCTCTTATAGATTGGGTGGGTACAAACCTAACCTTTTACATTGTTCAGGCCCACAATCTCAATATTGTTGGGCCGAATTTTAAGTAGAACCAGTGTGCCTTTTATATGTGTGTGCATATAAAAATATATTTTTAACTACGCATCACTTAGATGTTCTTTTATGAAGCCAATTCATACCGATATTTGATTGCTAGGCAGTGATATATCTTTTCCTTTCTCTTCTTTGTGAATTAATTATTTTGTGCGACATTCTTTCCATGTTGCTTTTGTTCTATAAAATTCATTTATCCCAAATGCTGCACAAACAGGAAGCCCTTAAACTTATGAAAGTTGCACTTTTTTCACCCCAACTCGTTCTTGGGCCATATTTTTGTATATTCATTCTTATATCATATTCTTTTTGCCACCATTATCTTGACATATATGGTTTCCTTCTGAGCAGAAAAAAATTATATGCTGTGTGTTTCTTTGAACTCTGCAGACATTGGTTCGATATCAGTTGCCTGTGGTGGTTATAGTCTTTAACAATAATGGTGTATATGGTGGTGACCGGAGGAACCCTGAAGAAATTACAGGACCTTACAAGGATGATCCAGCACCGACTTCTTTTGTCCTTGGTGCTGGATATCATCTTCTAATTGAAGCTTTTGGGGGAAGGGGTTATCTTGTTGGGACACCTGATGAACTCAAATCAGCGCTTTCTGAAGCTTTTTCTGCACGGAAGCCTGCTGTCATAAACGTTACAATTGATCCATATGCTGGTGCAGAAAGTGGGAGGATGCAGCATAAAAACTGAGGCAAGCTGTAGCACCTTTAATTTTTGGTTGGTTATGCTTTTTTGTTTTTGTGTATACTTGGTTTGCTTTTTCTGGAGGTTCTCATGTGTGACACCTTCTGATTAGGTGAATCTAGACCAGTTTTAGCATAAATAATTTATAAAGCTGGAGTTGTGGTTGTTGCTAGCATGTCGGCAAGACACACTCTTAACTCCAGTTTGTTTGTTCCATATCATCATATCAATTGTTGAAGAAATTGAATAAGTGAAGAGAAAAAAATAACGGCATCAAAGGCGAACAAGTCATAATACTTGACCTAGTTGATGTATAGTATTAATGTGCTCAGATTTCAAAGTTAATCTGATTATGTCACTATGGAGACATCTGATTATGTCACTATGGAAATGCATATTACACTCTCATATGGACTCGATGGATGTTCAGGGTAGTATTCACCCATTTGCCGTTTTTGATTTGTCTATGGAATCTGTAACCAATGCCTGCTGTTTTTTGACTTTTGCTTGTTAGCAGTTTGATTGGTGCATGAAAATTGGAAGTTCTGCATCAAAAGAGATATTGAGGTATCTGCCGTAATTTTTTTTTTTGTGGCAGCTTGGTGCTACTACGTATGATTCTGCGTTGTTAATAACCTTCCTCCGCACCTTAAAATCTGCGATTACATGTTTTTTAGTTTGTAATCTGAAATTACAGGTTAAGATTGCTTCAGTTATTATGAAGCATGTGGATCAGTATTATTCCCCTCTCTCGCTCTCTCCCCCCCCCCCCCCCAAAAAAAAAAAAAACCCGGATGTACAAAAGAATCTTTGATCTGTATATCCGTAAATTGAGTGGAAGTAAAGCTTCTTAATTGGCTGAGTTTGTATAAATCTCTCATTCCATTTAAACATACACTGCATAAAATACTCCTTTCGTGTATATCGGGTTATTGCTGTTAGTATTTTTAATATACGAGTTCAATGTAATGGTTTTTGTGCAGAGAAACTAATTGTAAGCTAATAGATAAATCTACCAGGAGATAGTATCTCTTAGATTGTCTACTAATTTCTAAGTACTTCAAATTGAAACTTACAAGCAGAAATACATGCCAAACAACTAAGGAAAGGATAAAAGGAGAAGTACATAACCTCCATCCTAATTAAAAAGAGGAAAATTGGAAGATGTTACTCTTTATTTCTTTTATCAAGTGGGCTGAAGAACCGGGAGTGTTCAAATATGAACCCATAAAAGAGCTAAAAAGTAGGCGTAGAGCATGCTAGAGGAGCTGCAAGTAAGGAACGTGCTAGCTAGTAAGGTGGTGGACGGGGATGCCAAGGTGGAGACGGTCCATAGGGATCAAAGTGTGATGGCAGAGGTGGATCAAGAGGTCCAGGCTGAGGTATTGCATAAGGTGGTGGAGTGTAAGGCGGTGGGGGTGGTCCAGGAAGTGGTGGTGGAGCATAATTATTTGGTGGCAGAGGTGGTGGTGGAGGAGCATAATTATTTTGTGGTGGAGGTGGTGGTGGGATGAATGAATCTAGTACCAGCACTGGTGGCAGTGGGGGTGATCTGGGTGGTCCAGGAGGTGGAGGTGACAGTGGATCGTATGGACCTGGTTCAGGCACTGGTGGTGGTGGTGGTGGGGGGGGGGGGGGGGTGATCCAGGAGGTCCAAGAGGTGGTGGAGGAGGAGCATAATAATTAGGTGGCGGCGGTGGCAGAGGTTGTGAGTGGCGGTGTCTTCGGAACCCCATTTTTCTGAACTTCGTATGAAAGATTACTGAAGTAACACCACCGAGTAGGGATCATTAAGGACAAGAAGCGACTATATAGAGGATGTGACATGAAATAAAATCTTGGGTTAATTGCAAATTACACTCTAAAAGATAGTTCAAATCTCAATTGAGACTCTTAAAGATTAAAAATTTTAATTTACACTTTCAAAGATAGAAATTTGTATCAATGTGCACCCTCAAAGATAAAAAAATTTTAATTTATACCCTCAAAGATAGGAATTTGTATTAATGTGCACTCCTAAAGATAAAAATCTTAATTTGCACTCTCAAAAATAGAAATTTGTATCAATGTGCAATTAAAATTAAATTGATAAATTATACTTAAATCCCATCATGTTTGTCACTTAATCATTTGAATCTCTTTACATTTAAAATATTACTCTTACATCTCAAAACGTACAGAAATCATCTTAAGCGTAAAGACTGCCAAATGATATTTCGTAATTTTAACATCACACTGCAAAAGTAATTGGGTATTGCTTTAACAATTTGTTCTCTCTCTCTCTCTCTCTCTCTCTCTCTCTCTCTCAAATGGACGGACTTTGACGTAGGTACCAAGGAATAAGGCCCGCCTACGATAACACACCACCACCACGACAAAACGCCTCCAAATTTTGCGGTGGACATCAATTGTTTTTACTAAAACTTGTTCATTAACTGATGTGACACACTATCTAATATCACCATATAATTAAATGAATAAATAAATATGTGATGGTTGTTGATGAGAGACACATCAGTTGAGATGTGAAATTTTTTAATAAAAAAGTTTGCTCTATGTTTGTATTTTTGACAGGAATTAAAGATAAAGCCGTCCTTCTAGATTTCCAGAATCTTTTTTTTGAGTTCTTTTCCCTATCGGCTTACTAATTCTAGAACAAAGATAAGTTTCTAATAGCTTCCAGTACCTTATGTATAACATTTACAGAAAGAAGCTAGCTGTTTCGTGTAACCATATAATTACATTACCTACCCCCCCCCCCCCCCCAAAAAAAAAAAAAAAAAAAAAACCCATATATAATTATACCCTTTACTTGTTTCATCAAGAAATTACCCATATTCAGTTAAAACAAATTTTGGCCAATATCCAATCTGCCTCTGAGAAATTGCCGGGAATAGACAAAAGCATAGCTTGCAAGTTGGAAAAAACCAACTTCAAATAGATGGAGTGTTTGTTTGAAAGTTTTCCTCTTTTTAATCTCTCCATCACCTTTAAGGCAACCATTATAATAGTGAATGAGACCATAACGTAACCTGATTCTTGTAATGACGTATGATGATGAAAGAAATTTATTGTCAATCTTAGAATTGATTGACTCTTCTAGTATAAAAAAAATGAGCTTAGTCAATGAATCCTAGTAAGTTGGGAATTCTGACATGCTTGATTCTCTCTTTTTCTTGATCGGATTGTCAAAGGAGAATTGTTACATGAGTCTTAGAATCCCCCAACTGAAACACAACCTTTGCCAAATCACCAAGCTTATTAATTACTCTCTAAATCCATGAACTGTTTCAGCCAATATTGCCACAATTGAAACATAGGATGATGTAGAGGAAAACAATCTCTCAATTTAGCCTTCTTTTACATCATTAGTTTTCTCTTCCCCTTCACTGCCAGCTCTTTCTCACCTTTCGAACCATGGTCAAAAATGGAAATTGTATCAATACTTAGAAATTGCTAGTTTGTGATTTCTTGGAAGTTTTGATAATTAGGTAGACATATCTGATTAATTTCACTTAGCGAAAAAAGAAGAAGATCTGATTGCTTCTTTTATTTGCCTAAACCATCACCTTAAAACAAATGGGTTGGCTTTAGAATTATAAAGAAAACATTACAATAAATGCAACGATTTTAAATATTAAACTCTCTGAGATAGATTTCATATTTCAAATCGAATCCATATGCAAGGAGGCCAATTAGACAAATCGAATTAAGAGTAAAGTATCAAATAAAGGAGGCTCAAGTAATCGAGCAAGAGAACCATCTCCATGTATAGTCACTTCAGCTTAAGAATCCCACAGATTTTGGTTCTGATCAATGGATGATCTGTTTTTCAAATTCCTTGCCCACCCTTGGTGGAAATATCACACCTCATGGTAGTACAGTAGCTTGTTTGTCAAGGAATGTCCAAATCTTGAAGGCATCCTAGGTTCCCAAGTACTCTGGAAAGTTAAAGAACAAACTGAGCACAGATTGAATGCTACACACGAGCCTAAGTAACTCGTCTTGATTAACACTTCAACGTAAAACAAACCTTGTAAGGGAGCTGTTGGTTACAAATCTAGTGTAAAGGTAATATAATAGCATAACCCCAACAAAGACTAGGTATAAAATAACACTTACACCCTCAAAGACTTACCATTACAACCAATGGTAATTAGTGGATTCAATCACACCTGTCAATCTACCCTGAATGGGATACAAAGATTTAGAATTCACCAATAAATTTCCATCATCGTCTCGGTTGGACCCAAGCCAACACCATGGTTTTACCTTGAAGCACATGGTTCAAAAATCATTCAGGTTTCATCCAAAATTGTTGGTTGGTTTTGGCTTTACTCTGCATTGGGAATTTGTTTAACTGATGGATCGCACAATTAAACATTACAATGGTGAAAAATGCCTCTCTTAAACATGCTATCAAAACTATATTATGCACATGTTTAACATCTTCAACCAAAATCCTTGGGGAAAGGTTAAATAAAATGTGATGCACCAATAATTTACACATTCAAATGATCCACTTGTCTCATCATACCAAATTATATCTGTCAGAGAAAACAGTTATGCAGAAATATTGATTCACTTAAGGGACTATGCGTGGAGAGAGAGAGAGAGAGAGAGATAAAATGAAAGAATAAGAACAATAATTGCAGTCTTTTGCAATTGTATTATTGTTATTATTTATAGTAAGAGCACTATGGAAAGATTTTAGGAGTTGAGGGACTGAGGGTGATGATGACAGAAGAATAGAAAGCACAAAGAAGTGAGATGCATGCTCCATGCACCTTATCATCTGTGCTCTCTATCTTCTGTCAACAGCATCACCACTGTCTCTTCTGCCTCTTATAAATATATATTGATATAATCAACACTGTTACATGCACAAACACACACCCACGCACCCACAGAGAGAGAGAGAGAGAGAGAGAGAGGGGGGGGGGGAGCTCTGGATGGTCCAACAATTTTCCCTATACCTGTATTTATCTTGATTCTTATGGTAGTAATATTGGCTCCTCAAGTGTATGCTGTAGAGTGAGGGGCTGAAGGTGATGACAGAAGAATAGAGAGCACAAAGAGTGAGATGCAGACTCCACGCACTTCATCTATCTGTGCTCTCTATCTTCTGTCAACAGCATCACCAATGCCGCCTTCTCTCTTGCATGTCTTAAACACTTAAGAGAGCTCTAGCTGTTGGTTACCTAAGGACTTCTCATGCCTCTATTTATAGAGCAAAATCCAGGTGCCTTTTTTGGTTCTATTTACACTACGAATAATTCTACGTGAACTTAAAATATAGACTTAATCAATTATTATTATTGATTTTATTGTGAGTCTTGGGATCCACTGTCTACTCAATAACAGTGATTGATTAAGTCTATATTTTAAGTCTATTTATTGGGATCTAAGATTTTAACCTAAAGTCCAAACCTAATGATATAACAGTGGACATAATTTAATAATATTATTATACTTATAACTGTTGGCCATGACTACTTCATCCTCAAATTGACTGATGGCAAGGATTACAAAAGAGCTCCTACTAGAGGACCTTGGATGATATCAAACCATTATCTCATTGTTCGAAAGTGGCACCCTGATTTTAAGCTTTCTTTAGCAACGGTCACTCAAACTGCGGTTTGGATCCGTTTACCTGAATTCTCTATTGAGTACTTCTCAAAATAGAGAATATTTTTAGTCGGACAATATTACTTGTCACATAATTGAGATAAGAGTATTAGGCCAAGTTTTTCGATGCCAATAATATTATTTCTTTGTTTGTAAAATTATAATGTGGCCTTTTTTTCCACTAAGATGTGTGTATAAATCAATGAATACCAGCTTGAAACTGTTTTGGTGCAAAGCAAAACATGAAATAAGGTTTAAGTGGAAGTTATGGTTTTTACAATGGTTTGACATGCGAGGCAATATCAAAAAAGACTTCACTAGAAGTAAAACTGATTGGTTTTCAAGTATAAGAGGAGGGAGAGAGGGAGAGACGTCAGCAATTAGGCATACATGCAAGTGGCCAGGAAGTATGGAGAAGAAAGGAGAGAGTTGGAGAATACCCCATCACAAATGCCTTATCATATACCCGCCCTCCCCCTCCCCCTACCCCTCCCCATCCCCCTTCTCCCACTCTCAATCCCATCATCTTCTTGCTGCTTTTTTCTCCAAACAAAATAAGTCTATTCCATTCTTCCACTTGTCATCACCCCATAGCTTCGCCCTCATATTCTCGTCTCCTTTCGGTTCATCTGTCTACTTATTTAAGAATCTTGTCAGAACGATGAAAGATAAAATGAATTTGGACCAAATAATTCAATCGAATCATATCTCTAACCTTTTGAATTGAGAATCGACCCTAAAAACCAATCTTTTCAAAAATAAACATCACATCACATATCTTACCATTTGAATCGAGTTTGAGTCATAAGCATACATCACTCATCTCTCTAGGAAAATATCAGTTAATAGGAATGATTTGGGAAATTATTGGAGGTAGCTAGTCAACCTACTTTGTCAAGTAGGCTATCCATAATTGGAATCATAGCAAGTAGCCATATTGGGTTTGTGTTCACATGCTCTCTTTTTATTTATCTACACTCCTCTGAATGACAGTGGCAGCAAAATCTTTCAAGTCTTTTGATCAGTTTTGGTAACCCAGCCTTTTAGGAAAGCATGCCTTTTTTGGAAATCTCGGTAGCCGCAGTCTCCCAAGGACACATGACCTTCAATTTACTCTCATACATATGCATCTGAATTATGAAAACAAATATGTTTAGTGAATGAGATTCTCATTATTAGGTTTGTGGGAGAATTGTTGTACTGTAATTTTATTTGCAAAAAATTTATTTTCGTTTCTCAAACTAATCCATTCAACTCATAGTAGAGTAACTTGACCGTTCTGTTAAAAGTAATCATTATTGTTAGTGTTATTATTGTGTTGTGTCTCCTAGATACTGTTAAAAGACAATACAAAGATTTTAATGTGGTAATGGAAGGGCAGCAACTTCACCTTGTGAATTTTGTTTCCAAGTACTTTAGTTTTTATTTATTTTATTAGTCAGAGATAATCGGATCAACTTACGTATATCTCAACTAATCCCCTCTTCGATTCGATCAAAAACATGTCATCCTTGTTACGATTATGTATTTATGAAAAATAAATCTTTCATAGTCTAGCGTTAAAAAATTATCGAGATTCATATTCAAAATATCTGAATTTACAATTCGTTTTTATCATAACTAAGAGTTAAGTACTTTAGTTTTTGTATTGGGTGCATGCCTGTATAAGAATATTCATGTTTGAACGTTAGAATTTATGTGAAGCATCAATTTTGATAGATTGGGTTACCTTTATTCCAATGCTTGTGCATACATATTGTTGTGGTGGGTAGCTTGACAACTCTCAATTCCTTTTTCACCGACTTAACTTTTGTAGACCATGTGCAATGTGCACTTACACCCACTACGTTTCGGGGAGTGGGACACTCCTCCTTTGCGGCTAATGACTTTTATGAATAATATTATTTAGATTTAAAATTTTAATTTAATTTATTAATATAATGATATAATTTTATAAGAATTATTGGATCAATATTAAATTTTAATATTAGATGGGGTTTATAGTGACCCCAAAGGTCACAATAAATTAGGTTAACAAATTATGTCAATAAATTAGACCTCAATAGCATTGCTCTTTATAGAACAAATCAATACATGTAAATTTTGAATATATTTTAATTAATATTATATCGAGAGCTACTGTATATAGGGAACTAGGGGTTGCTTGGTAATTGTTTTTGTCTTGTATTTTGTATTTTTGTTTTTAATTTTTGTCAAAAAAGAAAACAAAAATATGTTTGGGTATTATTTTTGTTTTTATTTTATATTAGTAGTTTGGAAACAAAGACAAAAAAATAGAAACAAAAAAAAGATATTCCAAAAAACACAAAAAACAAAGACAACACGATCAAATAGGCTTATGAATTAATGAGATTCAAACTTCGACTCCTCTTAACAGCAAAACAAATCTTTGTTTTATTGAAGTATAAAAACTCATTACATCCCTCTCTCCTCCCCATCGCTTCTCTTTCTTTGTCTCTCTCCTCTCTCCTTTCTCTATATTAGACCATCAAACGATACAGAGAAACCCATCACTGCCTTTTTCCTCTCCATTGCTGTCTCTTTCTTCAGCATCGCTGACCCTCTCTTTCTCCTATCTCCCTTTTCTCTGTGAAACCCAGAAGCTGTGCATATATATGCACATATTTGCATATATAGACATAGATTTGTGCGTGTGCGTGTGTGTGTATTGTGTTGATTTGGGATTTAATTGTCAAATAGATACCAAACATATTTATGATAAAATTTGAAGTAGTTACAAAACATATTTTTTGTTTTTATTTTTATAATTTGATAGGCAAAAATTACTCCCAAATATATTTTATGTATTAGTGTTTATCACAAAATAAAGGGAAGAATTATCACTATTTTAATTTTTTTCAAGACGTAAAAACAAAAACGTTACTAAATGACCCGTAAACACTCCCATTCAAATTTTCGTTACAATTGGGCTTTGGTCTATTCAAATTATTTTCTTGCATTTGGGCTTGTTAACGTATACGATTAAAATGAGGGCCCAAAACATTAGGGCAGACGCCAAGGCCCACACGATACCGCCATGGCCCCAGCTACCGAGAAAAATTAAATTTAACACTAACATCACATTATCATCGTCACGTAAAGTCTAATTTATGGTGAATTATTTTTGACAGTTTGGCTCCAATTAATAGACTCAGAAGTGTCCCCTCTGTTGATGAACTGGGGTACGGGGTACAAGTTTTGAAGAAACTTGACCACCTGATAAAAAAATAATATTATTTGAAATTAATTAGTCTATTTATTTCACTATAACCATGACAAAAAGTGGATTAATTAGATCAAAGTTTTTTAAATTTACTGCAGAAAACAAACCATATTTGAATGTTGTGAAAGCGCCATATGGTACATGAAATGAAACCATTTGTTTATTGAAACATAGACATCACACTACTTCTTTAGCAGGAGGAAAAGGAATTGAGAACATTACTCTGAAAAAAAAAAAAAAGAAATGGAGAAAGAAAAGGAAAGAAAGAGGAACAACAAAGTTCTACATCTAATGCTTTTATTCTTCAACCTTCTGAATCCAACCTCATTTTTTTTTTTTTTTTTTTATGTCTCGACCTCATTATGGTTTGATGAACAATTTTCCCTGCAAAAAAGGACGTAAGTCCAAAGATTTACAAGCAATTCCTGCTCAAAAGAGGGAGAGGGTGTTTTTTTTTCCCTAAACAGTAGTATGCAGAACAATTTGGTGTCTAGTTTGTAAATACCTCCTAATAAAACTTTGAAAATATATTTTTTTAAAAAATTAGGTCTATATCTATACTATTAATAAAGGGATAGGAGGGAATTTGTTGTTCATTACTAAAATGTCCATAATACCCTTTTTTTTTTTTTCAAATAACTATCCAAAACTCATTTTTTTTTACTCCACTTAATTACAACCTCTACTAATGAAAGGTCAAGCTTTTTCATCAGTTTTTTTATGTTGTTTTGCCCAAAGCTCTACTAATAATTTATTATGTTGTTTTTATAATTTTTTTTTTTACTAATAAAAATTTTTTTGATTGGTGTCATGTCATTTGACCCCCAATAAAAACTTTCAAATAATCATTTGAACTTTAAATTTGATCAATCTAGCATTACTCTTTTTTAGATCTCCCTAAAAGGTTATAAGAATTTTTTATAAGCCAATTTTTTAACTACATTTTTTTTTAACTGTTTCACTACATTTTCAAAACTTCTGTTTCACATTCAAAAAAGTCAGCTCCGAACCAGCCTTTAACCTTTCATTCTCCCCCCGCCGGCAAAGTAATCACGCAAGTCCCCATTTAACCATACTCAACTGCCTATTTCTCTGTTTACACGGGCAACCATGTGTGCAAAGCATCTGGTAAGTGTTTAAAGAGCACCGAGTTAGACATTTACACTATTTACATTCTATATGATTAAAATTTTGTCTCACCTTTGAACCAGCCTGATACTCAGATGGCTGAATTACAAACTGCTGAGAGATTTCTTGGTTTCTCATGATATAGGCCTAATACATAATAAATAAAAAAGCAGCAACCAGAAGTTAGTCCCATGGAATAATGTGAAAATTGTATACATATATATATGAGTTGTATCACTCACTGAGTTCAGATTGGCCATGGGTAAATGAGTTCGAGTTGCAGGATGATGAGATTCATTTCCTTCAGAACGGCTTCTTGTTACTTCTTCCTGGAGCAGCTGATTCACACATATCTTTTTTAGTGTCAAATGAACAACGAGACGGCAAGTTTTGAAACAAATTATTCAACTGACTTGTAGTGTTCATTATGTACTTACTTTCCATTTATGGTTTAAACAAACTCAAAAACAAAGTGTATACGATCCATTTATCGGCGTGAAGATACTATGTATAGGTTTAGTCTTGTCTTAACCAGGGTTGTCCATTCACATACTCTCACATACACTCTGGCTAACTGCTTCACTAGCTTATCTGGTGATTTTGCGCCGTGGATAATTAACACTGATACTATATAAGTTGAAAAGTAGGAATTCAAATATAAGAAAAATAATAAAATAAAATACAAAAATATAACGTGGTTCGATACAACATACTCTTCCGATACATTGTACCAACTTCTATAGACCAAAAAACCTACATCAATATATTATTCACTGAAAAAACTGGTTATTTGGTAATTAATTATATAATATTCAACCTTATATCAAGTCACTAATAAACCTATCCATAGTTTGTTAAGATTTCTCAAAATATGTTTCCTATTCCATTTAGGATTTTCATATTGATTGCCGAATAAACTCTCATTCATGACAATTTGAGAGTTTTGGTCAAATTCTTACATAATCTAGTTTTTTTTTTTTTCTATTGAAAAAAATGTGGGGGCAAAAAAGAGCGCTAAGTGACCTCTCCGATAGACCCTCAGTGATGGAATCATGAAGCTCTTGATTGTGCCCATTAGTCCTCTCGGGAATGAGTCTAATTAGACTAGTATAACGGTCAACCACCAAACCTTAATGTAAACTTCAAGACTTGAACCACCAATTTTAAGGTGAGAAGTTTAGCCGGTATTCCTAGATCAATTAAATGGTCTTAGATATTGTGTGGGTCAATATGATAATATGATGCAAGAGCTTGGAATAAAAACAAACACCTTGTGGTCCAAAGGAACAGCATCGGCCAAGAAATCCAGAAGTTTTTCATTCCTTATAGCTCTAGCAATGTCGCAACGCTGCAGTGTTCGGCGCTTATTTTCATCAGTGTGAAGCCATGAACGTAGTGTTAGCTCAAGGATGAAAAGCTCACAAGCCTTTGCAAACAATACTGGAGTGTCCGCACTGATCATCTGATCATACATTTCAAAACCAAGGTAAGAAATCAATGAAAACTTTATAACTCAGTTACATTTTGCATCTTAGATGCTTAAAGGTGCAGAGTTAAATGTTCTTTTTTTTTTTTGGCGTGTAAGCTGGTTCAGACATTTTTGTCCGTTGAACCAGGGGAAAAAAATGTTCTTTCCTTCTATAGAAATTGATAATTATAATCAATTATGAGGATTAGTATAAGGGAATAAAGAATTTGATTACTTACCTTCACTCCTTCATCTGCCTTCATTATCTTTTTTACCCTTGCAAGAGGTAGCCGATGATGGGTTCTAAACTCTACAAAATGACATAAAGAAAATAAATGCTACTTCTGATTAAAGTTTTAAAAAAAAAATCTATTAAATAATTTGGGATGCATTTTGTAATTGTCTCATTTAATCTTTAAACTATATAAATTTCAACAATCAGCCCTCCAGCCCATTTCTCCCTTTAAAACATATGGAAAAAAAATTGAGTTTAAGAGGTACATAGAGATTAAATTATTTACAGATGCAGAGAACCAATGAAAATATGACACATCAATATTGTGGGTCCCAATTATTTTTTTGTTGACCAAAATTTTAAATCAAATTACAATATATTATTTAAAAATTTTATTAGAACCCAAATAACTTGACATTAAATAAATAAATCGAAGTCAAAGGTGATATCATTTAAACTCTTAATTTAATCTAAAAATTTGTTTTCCGTAACATTACTGTTTTTTGTTCGGCTGTTTCCCATCTTTTTCAGCTATCTTCTCTCTCCACATACACTCCCACAAGCCAACAAATATGCACTGATACAGTCTCTCCTCCCCAAATAACCAACGCATATGAACACACTCTTTGGTCATTGGAGGAGGCGGAATGAAAACGGAATTTTGATGATCACTCGTTGGTGCAGTGGTAGAGCCGTAGCGGTGGATCTGAGTTGGGGTTCAGGTTAGTGAGGAGGGTGTTGGATGGATTTTTTGAAAGGAGTTGCTGCTGGGTTTGTCGGGGTGTGTTTTGAGTGTGTGACTGTACGGTGGGTGGGTGGGTGGATTGACCCGTAAATGCGTGTGAGTTTCGTTGAGGGAGTGATTTTGTCAACGAAGAAGAAGGAAAGAAAGAAAAGGTGGAAACAGAAAAAGGGAGATGTAAGTAGCACAAAAAAAAAAAGAAAAAGAGAGATGAAGAATTAGATACACCGAAAAAAGTTCTGAAATGGGGCCCTCGTTGGATGTTGAGTGGTTGCCTGTAAACTCACAATTTACGGGACAACCGTGAATGATTCAATCCCGTCCCACATATGCCCTATGTTAGTTGTTTTTTTTTCTGCCCTTAATTGCTCGATTGATTTTTGACATTTGATGTTCTGTTGTAGCCTTTACCCCCTCCTTAGACAATGCTGAAAATAGTGTAATCATTACGCTGAATATTTGAGAGAGAGAGACTGCAGAAAATTCTGCTGACAGTTGTATAGTAGAGGGCAATGGTTTGAAACCAATTTGACAATGAGAAGGGAAAATAAAACACCTGAAGCACTGCGAATCTCGTACAGTCGGTGATTCCAGAATAGCTGCATGTTCTGCTTCAGCAATTGCTTGAAACGATGATTTCTAGCCGCCTCCCCGTCTTTTACATACTGCTATATATTATTACAAGAACAAGACGAAGAAGAGAAGCAAAATGTATCATTAATTAAAAAAACAAAACATGGTTAATGAAGAACATGATAGAACTGTTATGTTATCAGAGAACTGGACATCATTTGAGTACCTGATGGTTATTGGGTGACATGAAGGCTGCTGGCATGGACATGAAGTTATGCATCTGAGAGTCTTGTTCTGGGACTGAGGCTGATGAAGTTGAGAACTCAATTGTCTTGTTCAAATCCATTATAGGTTTCTATTGCACCTACTCCTGTCAAGAAAGACCCATTAAATACAGAGAGAGAGAGAGAGAGAGAGAGAGAGAGAGAGAGATTAAGTTTGAATCAATCCTCAGGTGGATTCTAGCTTGGAGTGTCAGTGTCTGGATAGGGGGAGGGGAAGGAGATCATATCAAGGACAGGTGTAAGTGTAACCACCATAAAAGAGTGTAACCTCTTCCTTAACCATTAATGGATAGTTTTTCAAGCAAATTACAATAATCTGTATATCTCATTTGTTGAAATCTGCATAAACTTCTTACCTAAATCCTGACTCTTTTTTTGGCTGGAGCCTTAGTGGGAGACAATAGCATCACAGGGAATCCAGAAAATGTTGTACAAGAGGTGCTTTCTTAGAATAAAACCAAATCAATTCGGTGAAGTCCAAATCCAATTACGGTATCTTTTCTTTTTTTGGTCTCATATATGTGAACATAAAAGGACCAAAAATATTATTTTTTTTATATTATTTTAATATTTTCACAATGAATAATTACCTAAATCAAATTAAGATTTACGACTTGAAAGTATTTTTTTAAGTGAAAAAATTATTTTATTAATATTATTTCTATCTAATTTATCAGACCGATTGTCTTTCCCGATACCCCCAAAAAAAAAACTTCTATTCTTGACTAAAAATTTTAAAATAAAAGCATCGAGATAAGAGGAGTTAATTGAGTCTTAAGTTTTTCAAATTTTAGTATGAGTGAAACATGGCGCAAATTGATTGTCACCGGCATTAACTCGGTTGCCAAACGTACATTCCTTATTCAATGATGGCTCGGAGATAGGAGTTATAATCGACCTGAGTTATGTAAATTTGAGTCGAACTTGTTTTTTAAAATAAATTTAAAAAATTATTTAAATTTGACTCGTTTAAAAAATGAGTCAAGTTCGACTATTTTACATATAAATAAATTGAGTTTTGCAAATTTGAGCTGAGATTTTTAAACACGTTTTCTAAATAAATCAAAAAAAAAATTTATTCAAACTTGACTCGAGTTCTATTTGAACCGAGCCCAATTAACTTGTCTCAATTATCAATCTTAGTCAGAGATTATATGTTTTGATTCCTACTTGTCTCAACTTGTTTTTGTGCTACAAGTTTAAACCTAAGTAAATCCACTTGTTTTTGTGCTACAAGTTTAAACCTAAGTAAATCCAAAGAATAACAATTTTTGGTAGTAAGGTTCCTCATCCTTTATGGAAGAGTTTAATTTGTACACCTAATTTAATATAGTTGTTAGATTAGAAATGGGTTTTATATAACATTTAAATTCACAATTAAAATTTGAATCATATGTGGTTGACTTTTTGGAATTATGATTGGCTTAATTATTTCTTACTTCAAATATACTTGAACAAGTCAAAATCGAATTAAACTGAGATGACTAAGATTATTTAACAGCTCTAATCAAAATCAAAATGCAAATCAAAGTACTCTTTTCAACTACTTAATGAAATTCACCTTGCAACAACAATGGAAAAAATATTTTATGCATATTTTAATTATCAATAATTATCATAGATGAGGACATAAACTATGCAACATAGATTTAATTTGAAGAACTAATGCAATATAATCATTCGATTAATTATGAATAATAATAATCATAAATAAAGTTTTTATTTAATTTAATAAAAGGAGTTTGGCATGATGGGTCCTTCCACAACGACCGTGGTGGTGACGTGAAGCTCAAAAGACGAGTTGGCCAGGATTCGCTGACCAAACGGTTGTTGAGACGGTAAACCTGGATTACGGAAAAGCAGCCATGCATGGAGATGGATGCCCCCACCTGGATTCCGACTCCCCCACAGTGCTTCTACCTAAAACGGTTAGACTAATAATCTAACCCAATAGCTAAATAATGACCCCACCAAACATTCGAGAGACTACGTAATATGCATGCAAACATAAGACAACATCTTACATGCAAAATGCAGAATTTTCTCTCTTTTGTTCTTTTTTACTATTAGGCGAGACTTCTTATTAATCTGATTTATTGATTTAATTAATTATTATTATTTATTTAACTGTGAGTTTTAATATTTATTTGGACTCACTTGCCTATCTAGTAGTTATGATTGATCAAGTCAATAAATCTTGTTAATATTTTAAATACAAATAACATTTCTTATTTTATGAATTTAATGTAAAATTAGTACTAATATAATTAACAAACTCGAATTAACCGGCTTGATGGATCACATTCAGTATACAAGTCGCTAAGAATTCAACTATATCCATAATGTATACATGATCAAAATTGTGGGTGGCACCCCCATGTACTACTATACGACCATGAACCCACACATAGGGAGAGAGAGAGAGATGATGCATATGAACATGAATAATGCATTGGAAACAAGACACATTCATAACAAATATAGATTCGTCTGTACTACCAACACCTTCCTCTCTTCAACGACTTTCACTATCCACGCTTTAGCTGTTACAATTAATATCAAATCTTTATTTTTTTTTCAAATTTTTTTGTTATTCATTAAATTTTATAAACTAAACTACAATTTAACTAGAATAAGGTACGAAAGAGTCTCTCCTGATCAGTGAGAGAATGGCGAAAGTGGCAGCGGTGTCCGTACGGGCAGATGTCGCCGGCGAGAACCATCCGGCAGACCTCAGTCTTGTAGCGTGGGTGCCTTATCACGGGTCGGAGCTCCGTGATACCATGTGCGAACCGGCACTGGTCCCCATATGGACACTCACCAGTCTCCTGCCACTTGTTACACAACTCCGTCTTGAACATTCCCTGGTTGTATACATCAAATTCCAGTGCCTCTGCTTGTTTCTTTACCCCTGGCACATGGACTCTCTGCTGCTATCAATACACACAATCACAAACACAACACCAAAATTGAGTTTTTTTTAGATAATTTTTTACGTATCAAATTTGTGAATCAAAACTCACACCAAATCAGTTGTAGTTGTTGGATTAACGATGGAACCTACTGATTTAACGGTTACAAACGATTTAGTGCACATAGTATTGCTCTCTTTTTTTTGCTCATCTTTATTTTGGTTCTTCCGGATCCATTTAAATGAATATTTATCGAATCTACTTAGATTTTAATTTTTTTTTTAAGCGTAGTCAAATTCGAATAACATGTAACTATGCTCAAGTAAAACCTCTTCATAAAAAATATTACTTTTATTAGTAAAAAACTCCGCCTCACAAGATCAATAGCTATAAAATTATTTTCTACTAATTGCAGGGAGTATTTGCTTATTTTTACCTTTTATTCTCCATTTTAAAAAAAAATAAATTTCTAATAGTTTATGTTATCGTTGGTTACATGGATTTTGATAAAAAAAAAATTTATTGAAAACTTGGTTATTTTACTTCTAAATAACAAGTTTTTAAAAATATTTACCAAAAACTTATGTTTTGAATAAACCGGAGCTACTGGAACAGGCAAAACGTTTTGACTCACCGAGCTTAGAGAGGATGAACTTGTGACTCGGGGACGACTTGGGCCTCTATTGTTTGCTGCATTTTGTATCATCTTCAAATAACCGCTTGAGCGAACCGAAATGCTTTTCGGCAAGGGCACGCTCTCAGGATTCCTCCTCTCGAATTGGTTGTTGTTTTCGATCACTCTCGTCGGACTGATATGCTTCGAAGTTTCTACGACCGCGCGACTTCCACGTGACTCGTCTCCGATGTTAAGTCGATTGAAGTCGTTGACGATGGAGAGAGGTTGATGACCGGAGGAGAGAAGACAGTTTTTTATGGTGGCCTGAGAGAGGAGGCTTAAGCGGCGGACTAAGTCTGTGTTGGCGAGTCGGAGAGTATCATTCTCTTGACGGAGAGCATCGACTTCTTTGAGTGATTTCTGGAGGTGAGCAAGACAGAGTGCGTAGCGGTTGTATAGCTGTTGGTACTCGAGGATGAACCTGGCTTCGTAGAGGCGGTTTTCGGTTGCGATTGCATTGGTGGCTTCGCCTTCGACGGAGGAATCTGACGGCGAGAATGAAAGAGAGCTCGAGTTTGGCGGGAAATAGGAGGTATTGAAGTCGGTCGAATACTCGATTTGGTCACGAAATGTAGGGGAAAGGAATGGATTGCCAGAGAAATGTGGTGATGTAGAAGTGGTAAAGGACTTGTCGCCGGCGGTGAGGCCATCAGAGGTAAGGTTTTCGTTCTGCATTTTAGGTCTTGTTTGTTATTGCTGTATCTGAAACACGAAACACAAACATCTACACAAGATTTATCAATTCCAATCCAATCTAACCAAAATTGAAATCACGAGCATCAAATATCAACGAATTTCAGATGTATATGTTCCTTATCATCGAAATTCAACCCGAAAATACGTCAAAATAACTCGAATCAAGATCCATATTGAATCGAATTGCAAGTATAATCTCGATTCTCGACTAAACAGAAAGCAACAGAGTTCTTGAATACATCATACCTGAAGGCAGCAACAGACAGACTGTGTATACTATGGAGAGAGAAGAGGAGAGAGAGGGAGAAAAAGGGACGAAGCTGAGAATGAATGGAGCCAGATACAAGTGGGCTAATATAAAGACTAGAGATGAGGTGTTTGATGAATCAAATGAGTGGTTGATTGGTTACACCACCATATATAACTTGGCATGGAAGCATGACGAAGGTGGAGGGAGGTGGTGTTGAATTGAAGGTTTTGTTTTGAAATCATGAGTGAGGGTGGATTAAGAAAAGCTTTCCAATCTATATTTTAAGTAAGCCTTTAATCATTTCAGCATAGTTGCTTCCTTATTACAACTTTAACTAACCCTTGTGACTTCTTTATTATATCTCTTCCCAATTTTCTTAAGAAGGAAAAATTACATTTTGACCCTCACAATTATTACTCTTTAGTGGTGCAACTTGGTTTGGGCAATCCGATTTCAACCCGAGTTTAACTTGAAAAAATTAGGGTTTGACAACAGTTTTTTATACTTGGGTTGGACTTGGGTCGAAAA